CCGCTCGAGTGCCGAGGCTGAGTATCGAGCAGTGGCTAACGCCGTTGCTGAATGCTCTTGGCTCCGTCAGCTGCTCCAGGAGTTGCTTTGTGACGTTCACAAGGCTACGCTCGTCTACTGCGACAACGTCTCCGCCGTTTACCTCTCCGCCAACCCGGTCCATCATCGTCGAACAAAGCATATTGAGCTCGACATACACTTCGTTTGTGAGCAGGTGGCTCTTGGGCGCATCCGGGTCCTCCACGTCCCGACGGCGCAGCAGTTCGCCGACGTCATGACGAAAGGACTGCCTAGTTCTGTTTTCGAGGAGTTCAGGTCCAGTCTTTGCGTCTCCGGCAACGCTTCGACTGCGGGGGGGGGGGTGTTGAATATATGGTTTGTGCATGTATATTGTATAACCTGGCCCACCTCCTAGTCTTTGTATAATTGAGGTTGTGGCCCACTTGTACTCCATATATACGTGCGCTTTGCACCGATCAATACATCGTGAAGCATTGCCAAAACAATCGTTTCCAACACAAACGTATGCTCGAAGGCCGCCAGGGAGCTACTATATGTGAAACGTGTTCGCTTTTCTCTCGCCGCCGCCGCTAGGAGTCTTCTCCGCCGCTGCCCTATGTCGCCCGATTCCACGTCCGTAAATTGTTTTGAGTCTCTCCTAGTTTTTTAGGGTGTTCATCGTCATGGCTTATGGCGACGCCAAATAAAGATTTTTCATATCCTACTCCGACGAGGCGATCAATCTACGGTTGGGGATGAATTATAAAACCAATCTGTCCAAGTAAGTATGGCATGACGGTGGGCACATCCTTTTGGTGGATCTGTGTCCTCGGACTCTGCCGTTGCGATGACGTTCGCTCTAGCACCGTGCGCGGAGCTTGGGACTGGGAGGTAGTCCAGGAGCGGATGCAGATTATGGTGTGCATTGGCGGCATCTGGAAAATGGTGGATCGTGTGTTGGGTTCATGGTTTGTGTAGGGCTGGTATGGTTTCTCCTTCAGCGTCTTAATCATGTGGGTATGTTAGATCTGGAGTTCGATGACGTGTTCGGCGTGTTGTCCGGTCTGATTCTTTCAACGGTAATGGTTTCGTTTTTGATGAGTCATCTTGTAGTTCAGCAAAGCTGTTTATCAGCGAGCCACATCGAGCTTGGGTGCGGAGATGATCAGTCATTTTTTTCTTTGGTGGCTATTGTGATGGTGCTAGAGGTAGGTGAGAAACGTCGGTGTCAACCTCAGAGGGTTCTTCAGTCTTGTTCGTAATTTTACTTCTTAGAATGTGTTTCTTTATGTAAAGGCTAAAATTCTGCTATCTTTTTAGCTTTATTAGATCGATATATACGTGATTTGTACAATAATTTATATGATATTAACGAGACATGTATTACCTGTAAAGAAAAATAAATGAGACAGCATTATCTAAAAAAAGGGCCGCTAGTGAGCTGACGCCAGCTAGATGTTTGGGTCCAAACAATTCTATCAAAGTGACATTTTAACGTGCTTTCTTCTTACTTCTTTTTTTCACATAAAAGGTACAAGTGTATAAATGATCTGATTAACTCCTACCTTCTTACCTTATATGTCAAAAGAAAAGGTAAAAGGAAGCATGTAAAAATTTAGTCAATTGGAAAACACTTGTCCGTCTTGGCCGGGTGAACTGTGCAAGAATTAACCGGATTACGAGAACAATCCCTCTTGACCCCTGTCAGCAAGCCCCTGGTCGGTCAACTCCAGAAGCAGATAGCTGAGAGGAGCCGCAAGGGAGTGTCCAGATCTGGAGAAGTACATTGCGGATTTGAAGGACTAGACATACACCAGAGCTTAAGAGCATCTCCAGCCGTTCGGCCCCTCAGGACGCCCAAAAAAAGCGGCCTGGGGGCGAGCCGGCGCTAGTTCGGTCCCTGGTGTTCGTTTCTCTCCAGCCACGCGTCCAGGTGTCATCCCCGAAGACGCTCCATATTTAAAATCCATCATTCCCATTCAAAGAAATAACAAACCGATGATCATCGCAATAGTTCGGCGATTCATAGTGCCACAGTTCGGCGATCAAATGTAGTTCGGCGTACAAAAAAGGAAGGACGCGGAAGGCATCAAACACCGAGCTCAACCTCCGGCGGCGTACGCGGGCTGGGAGGAGTCGGCGCGGCTTTCGGGCTGTTCGGCGCGGCTTCCGGGCTATTCGGCGCGGCGGAGGCATCATCGACGGTGGGGCTGGGCATCGCGGAGGCATCGTCATCAGCCGCCGGGCTGGGCGGCGGCGTCGGCGTCGCCGGTATCTAGTCCAGGATGAGGCCGTGATTGGCCAAGAACCACGCCTTGAGCTTCTCGTCCTCGCTCTGGAGCATGTCAGTGCCGCCCATCAAAAAGGCGAGGTCATTGTTCCTCTTCTTGGCGTCTTGAGCTTTGAGCTTCGCGGCGGCGCTGGTCCGGAGCAAGTCGAGTTTGACGGCGTTGTTCGTCATCAAAACAGCCCACCTCGCCTCGATTTTCTCTTCTCGCTCGGCGGCCCTGGTCTTGGTGTCGGCGATGCAGTGTTCGATGGACTCTTGCACGCGCGCGGCAGCCGACTCGGCATATTTCACCTTCTTGGCACCTTTGTTGCCGTCCGGGCGCCCGTCGGCCGCGCCCAAGGTCGGCGCGTCCGGTTTGTACATCTCTTTGGCCTTGGCGAGGGTGCGCCGGACGGCCGCCCATTTCTCGCACTTGTCGATCCTCTTGAAGACGTGGAGGTACTTGAAGTCCGCGTCGCTGTTGTCGTCGCGGAACATGGCGAACATGCATAGTAGCTGCGCCGGAGAAAGGACATCAGTCGGCACCAGAGCGCGCGCCAGGGCATGTACAAGGCGAAAGAACGCTCTCGGAGCGAAAGAACGGCGTGCGATACCTGATCCTCGAGGCTGGTGTCGCTCTCCGGGCGAGCCGCGACCTCCTCGATGATCCCATGCCATTTGTTGCACGCCTTGGATGAGCGACCAATGGTTCGCCATCCCCTTCGACCCCCGCTTCATGTGCATGCCTTTGAAGTAGGGTCAACGAGCTTCCGCTCGTCGAACTCGGCCTTGATGCGGTCCCAATACGTCTCGATGCTCTGATTCGTGCTGGTGACCGGGTCGAGGAAGACGACCTTCCACGCTTCGGCGAGGCACTCCTCTTCCTTGGACGCCCATTTGATGCGTGGCTCGCCGGACTTGGCCGCCGTCTTCTTCTTCTTCTTCTTCTTCTTGCCTTTCCTCGTTGGCGCCAGCTCCTCCTCCTCTTCTTCCTCCTCCTCTGGCTCTTCCTCGCCGTAGTCGACCTCGCCGTCCATGTCGGCGAGGCCAATCGAGCCGTCCTGCGTAATGAATCCGGGGGAAGCGGCGGCGGCAGCCGAGCCGGCTGCGATGATGTCCTCCATGTCGGCCTCCGTCGTGTCGGCGTCGTCGAGATGTGACGAGGATGAGGCTTGCGAGTAGAGGCCGCGGCGAAGAGCGGGCGTCGGTAAGGCTGCGTAGTCCGGCGGCGAGTACGTTTAAGGTGGGTACTACAGGCCGGCGAACGCAGGCGAGGGCGTGTGCTGGGCAGGGCGCCCGTGGGGAAGGTGATGTTGGGGTTGAAACCACCGTGGGCGTCCCCATCGGCATAGCCCAGCAACGACGTGCTTCATGGGTGCGGCAACGACGAGAACCCGGCCGGAGAGCCGACGCTTTGCTGGCTCCAGGCCGCGTACGGGTGCCCCCCGGGGTGGATTTGTCATCGCCGCGCGTGCCACCTCCGTCGCCGCCGCCGCCGCATCGTACGCCACTTTTTCCCTCGCCTTCTTGGCCCTGTTGCGGATGTCGACAGTGATGGCCTCCCGGCGCTTCGCATCCGCCTTCCACTCAGCGTTAGTCATGCCGGGTGGTTTGGAGAGCGGAGCGCTCGGCTTCCTTTGCTTCGGCTGGGCGGCGGCGGCGGTGGGATCCGTCGCCGTGCGCGGCATCACGTACTTCTTTGACGGTATGGCCGGCGAAAGGACAGGGAGGAGGCGGGTGTTTGGCGGGAGGAATGAAGAAGAGATGGGTGAACGCGGAAGGAAACGGCGGGAAAAGGGCTTCCAGTCGGCTTCCAGTCGTCGACAGAGCGGCCCCATGCCGCTTTAGCTTGTGCCGGCGCGCCCAGGCGACACCCCGCTGTTTGGGTTCGGGGCGGGATCGCCGGCTCTGGATTTCGCCTAAACCGGCGCTAAACGAGATCCTGGGGCACGACTAGACTGATTTTCG